AAGAAAAAGAATCAATTTGTTTTGTTCTTCAGAGATAGATGGAAATCATATTGTATGTACTTAGAAAGAACAATTAAATTGTATTATACTGAAAACTTCCAAGCTTTGAATAGTTAATTTCATTCCTACAAGGATTTCATGGTTGCCTTTATCAATGAATTATGGCTTATAAATGATTTAATTTCTGAATGTTGTACTATTAAATTGATGCTTATTTGCTTAATTTTTGAAGATTTCTGATTTTATTTACTTTGCTACTGCACTTTGAAATCATGTTGAAATAATGCAAATGGTTTAATAAGCACTGCATCATCATCATCTTCTTCTTGTGCCATATCCGTTATCGGACGTTGGCGATCATGTTGGCGATCCTGTTTTTATCAGCAGCCGCATGAAAAAGTGCTGCTGAGTTTTGTCCAAATCAGTCCCTTAGATTTTGAAGCCATGATGTTCTTCTTTGCCTGGACCTCGTTTGCCTTCAATCTTTCCCTGGAGGAAATCATACTCTGAATTTTTCTGGGATGAATCCAGACTGATTCTAAGACTTAATAAATCACCATGCTTCTACTATTAACACAAATGCATTTGAATTCCTGCAGTATTGGGAGATACTATGTTTTAGGGCAAGCATTGTGTCTCCTTTTAATATTTTAATAACTAATTTTATGTTATGTTATGTGCTACGAACATATCTCATTTGCTCAATATATTCAAGTTGTAGCAATTATATTACTAGCATTCAATTTCAAAAGCAATTTATAGCTAATCATCATATTTAACCTAGTTTTATCTACACAGCTTGAGTTAATTTATAACATGAAATTTAATAATGCATTTTTAAATCAAAATTTAAAATTTAAAGACTTGGCTGTATTCCCAGGCCTAGACTAGGGACATGTTTATGTGTGTTTTGAATGTTGTTGGCCAGATTCTTGTTTTTTTCCCCTTATCTTGTCTTTTTCTTATTCATATTGTATTTTAATTTGTTTGTTGTGATATGAGCTTCCCAGAGTTGTTCTGAGGTAGGGTAGTGCCTAAATCAATTAAATTAATTCTATTTTACTTACCATATAACATTTAGAACATAGTGTTGTGTGTGTGCCTGGACTTTTAGTCATACTAGCCACATGGCCATAGAAATGTCTTCGGGCAAACGCTAGCTCCCTCAGCTAAGAAACAGAGATAAGCCCCCTACAGTCAGAAATGACTGGACAGGGGAAACCTTTACCTTTTATTTGAAGAATAAAATGCCAAAATATTCCCCCAAATTGGATTTGGCTTATCTGTGGATGGGCTTATTCAGAAGTATATAGTACCCATATACTCCTTTTATACTGATGTAAAAACTCAGTCATGGATAACCTGACCATTGAATTTTTAATTCAATTCCATGAAAAATCTGCCACCTGGGGATAAGCCAATTGTGACAATTAAAACATATAAATATTTTACAGGTTGGATTATTACCAGATGGTACAATTTTCAAGATATTATGGTTAGAAATTTGACATATCTCCAATAGACTGATATATGAGTATATATGGCAGCTTAAATCAAAAGCCAACTCTCTTCAAAGGAGAATGTGATTTGAATGTGTCTTTATTATCTACCCCTGGAGGGTAAACATGATGTTATTTAGACTATTTGTTCTTTAGGTCAAATACACAAGATATTAAAATGGCAAACTCAAGTTTTCTTTTCCATAGCACCAAAATATGTCTATAATCAAAATACATGCCTAGGTTACAGTCTGAATGTTTATACACCCAATGAGAATTTCCCATATAACCTAACCTTCCAGGTACATACAGAAATCCCTGGATGAATTGCTTTTTGCAAAGGCCCAACAAAAATATATTTATTTTAGTTGTATGGGAAATCTTGCCTTTAAATTGTGGCAGAACAATCATGTAGAGGTCTTGCTACACTATGGGGTCCCAGCAAGCTTTTTTCGTTAAGGCATACTGAAATTTCTAGGTTCCTGATAAATTTGATAGGTTAAGGCTTTCTCACTTTAATTTTAAAAGTAACTAATTGAAGTATATTAGAATCACACATAATTACGTATGGCCTCCAAGAGAAAGGATATGTCTAAATGGTATAGGGTTTCCTGCCTGAAATGAAATGGTATAGGGTTTCCTGCCTGAGCAGGGGATTGGACTAGATGACCTCCAAGGTCCCTTCCAACTTTATTATTATTATTATTATTATTATTATTATTATTATTATTATTATTAGTAGTAGTAGTAGTAGTAGTAGTAGTAGTAGTAGTACTAGTACTAGTACTAGTAGTATCCAACTGAAGACAATGGTAGTAGACGACTTTACTAAGCTGTTATTGAGATGCCATTACCATCCTCTTTGTGGGGTAATGGGATTTGTAAATCAGAGGACAGTTGTGTAATCCCAGGAAAATGCTTAAGTTCTTTAAAAAGTATACAGAAGTTACATTTATGCCCTCTGTGCATTCTTTTTCCTTTGAATCTGACATTCTACACAGCCTTAGCATTTAGTTAAAAGTTGGAATATAGCTTCAACTTGATTGGAAGCTACTGATTATTTTGCAGTAAGATACCATTCAAGAATGAAAAGCTAATCTCCAGGCTGAGCATAACCACAATTTTGTATGTGGTTTTAGATGACAAGTGTAAGGATTCTATTGAAATTTATTTATTCACGATGAAATTGAACTAAAGGAATACTAGAAAAACTAATTTAGGAAACTATATGAGAATAAAAATTGATTGGCACTCAAATGAATGCTCCCTAACATTGGTGAAATATATAGTTTACTGTATATTTACTGATGTAGAGAAATGTATGGTAAAGTGAATAAATAAGCTTGAATTATGGAATCTTTCCACAAATTTGGAATTGAACATTATTTTTTGCTGAATACAATAAACATTGAAGAAATAAAGAACCCATGAGAATAAATGGGATGATCTGGAAACAGTTCAGCACTGAACAGTGACAAAAATGGCTGGTGTCACCTTGTTTAATGTATTTATGGATAAATGTGAAATAAATGCTTGGGTTGACATTAGAAGTGTGTGGCTTGAGGATGTGAATTTGTATTTTGTATGCTAGGTCATTAGTTGAGAATCCAAAGGATTTGTAGGAAATGTTAGAGGAAATGGAATGAACAAGTTATAGATAAATGGTGAAAACTCATGGGAGTAGATGAATTTGTTGTCTTGGGAGAATGTTTTCTGAATATGGAAACATGGTTGAACAAACTTTAAGATGTATGTGTGCTGATAAAAAGGGAGTATACTATGTGGTTTGTTTTGAATAATGACTGCAAGCTATGCATAAGAGAGGCATGTTTAAGGATAAATTTATAATTAAATACTGGGGAATGTGCCAATTTTTCAAAATTAGACTTAAGTTTTACATCTGAAAAATTAATTCTGCTTTCAAGTCCCACAATTCTATTCTTTTCTAAAAAGAAAACACTCATAAAGGGAGATAATTTGGGTCTCATAAGAATACACATTTAACCATGTTTCGTTATCTATGCTGTGATTGATTGGGTATCCAATCAATTATTATAAACCATAAGTCACAGCGATTGATTTTATATTGCACACTGCCAAACCCAAACAAACTGCAAAAATGTTTAACAGCACATATAAACCACCAGAAGAGAAATGCTTCCTTTGAAGTACTTGTTAGGGACATATTTGGAATGCAGATATTATGGGGAAAGTGGTGAGTATATTATATAGGGAACATATGGTGCATGGAAATGTATGGGAGTCCAATTATAAGACTGCAGAGTTTAATCCTGTTCTTGCACAGGTAGGAAGAAATAAGCTGTTAAATAACCAGTCCTGGAATACTCATGTCTCTGAATCACTGCCAGCATCAGCAGAATATTACTGTGAGAAAGATAACACATTGTTTCAACACAGCCTGCAGGTATTGGTAGAAAGGGACAGGATGGCAGGATTAAAAATAGAATCCTAACAAGGGAGGGAAAAATATGACCTGAAACCAATAGAAGAATCAATTGGTGAAGTGGATTATTCTGAAGTTTATAGGTTTTGTATAACCCATTTGTTTCTTTATCATTTTTATCTGGGAGAATATATATATATTCTATAGAATATATTCTATTATCACAGACATACTGTGGATCATTACTTTGTAATTACCACAACAGAAATGGATTGAAAAAATGAACACAGGAAGGTTTATTTTTATGCCAAAAGTATTAAGGTGATGAAATTAAAAGGATATTGTTATTTTAAGTAAAGATAAAAGTAGATTGCTGTGCAGGGATAGATAGCTACAGAGTTTACTTGTGGTTATTTTCTGCTGGATAATCAAGAAGCTGGGGGGAAAAACTGGTGTTTATGCATCTGTGTGTGTTTGTGTATGTGGACTGAGGCAAAATCACATATTTCTCTTAAACTAAGCATTAAGGGATCTGTTTATTCAGATAGTGGAAAGAGTTGAGAAAATGAAATATTGGCATTTCAGCAAGAAAATACAAAAAATTTGTTATCCTTCCTATAGCACAGAAGGACCTTTATTTTAAGCTGAACTTAGCTGTAGGTTAGAAAGCAAGATCTTCATGGGTGGAGGTGGGGGTGCATATTACACTTTTGCAGATTTGTTCCTGCCTTCCAAATCCCTCCAAATAAAAATCAAGCACAATTAACTTAGAAAGGAAGGAAGATTGCAACAATCTTATTTTCTTTTCTTAGTACGTGACATGAAAACTTTCAATGAAGATAGTTTGCTTTATTAGAACACTATTCCTATTTCATAAATATTCTTACCATTCAATATAAAAAAGCACTTTTTCCTAAAACAGTAACACCAAATGATATCAGTAACATTGAGTGGTATAATGTATCCTACGAACTGAATCTGATTTCCCACTATTTGTTGCTGAGTCTTTTAAAAGATCTGATTTCATTTACAGACTCTTCTGAACTTTTTAGCAGCAGTTAACTTCCTAACTTTAGTAATGAAATGTTACTACTTACCTGGAAAGTATAAAACCGAGTTCCATTAGGAGGATGCAATTTAGGAGACCCAGAAAGCGTGCTCATCTCAGAGAATATCATTTCTGTTTCCAGGCACAATATAATCCTCAAGAAGCTACAGGAAAAGGCAGAGAACAGCAGCACTCTGCTTGCAAGAGGAAGCCTTCCATAGGTTTCAGGGAGGAACTGTATAATATGACATCTGCTCCATCCGTTCAGAGAGACGAGTGACAGCATGCAAACACACCATGTCTACATTCGTAAGCTTAACCAGCAGACTTATCAGTCAAAAACCTTTACTTCAGCCAGCTTTTAAAATGGCATAGGAATAAAACCAAGACTTTGTATTAAAAAGAAAGAAAGAAATGCTAGAGCAAAACCTACAGTAAAATGTAGCTGGTGCAGGATCTGGCAATGCTTTGAACTCTGCCCATCTGTTCCTAGTGATAATCACCTCCCTCATCTACAGGCTTGCAGAATGATTATGCTAACATCCCTGTTAACCATTACCACACAGCTTGGTTTCAAGCAAGCATGCAAGGTAGAATAGAGAGGACCTCTTCTGAGGGGGAAATTTGAAAGGAATGCAGCTAGGTTTTCAGACTTTGAAATGAAGTGTTGCTTGTTAAATACAATGATATAAAATAACTGGAGAAACATTATGTCTTTATTATATATTTGCAACTTTAGCTTTGTTTTCTTTCCCCAGAGAAACATTCAGATGAAAAGCAACATGTAAGTAATAACATCATTGAATAATTTTGATTACTGAAATGTTTATAACCATTCTTATTTTAAAAAAACTCATCCAAGCATTAAACTGAACAAGCAGAAAAGATTTTTATGCTATTATGCATCTGACTTTCACACACTTTCAGTTTGTTCTGAGAACAGGAAAAAATTAACACTACTCTGACACCTTATAAGCAGCAAAAATAAATGGTTTCATCTGCATTTCAGCAGAAGCTGGTATTTCTAGATATACAAAACATCAACCTTAAATGATGCTTGAATGTTAGAAGCAGTTTTGGGGTGGTTAAATGTGTATTTTGACATTTATATAGACTACAGTTTTCACAGTGCAGTTCTCAAACTATGCACTGTGGTGCCCTGGGATGTCCAGCAAACTCAGAAGCATGCCCCAGAATATTTTGTTACTTAACCAATGGGAACTACAGGTAGTTCTTGACTTACAACCATAAGTAAGTCTGGAATTACAGTAATAAGTTGTTTGGTCATAATTGAGGCATCACATGACTGGATTTGAAGTTATGACTATTTTTTATGATAGTTAAATAAAGGTCATTAAGCAAATCCATTTTCTTCAATGGGCATTTTTTTGCCAGAAACTGGAAAAAAATATCACAAATCTTGGTTGGTGATAGCAGGATGCTGCAAATTGCTGTATAGATGACACATTTGCCAAGTGTTCAAAATGAGATCATGTGACCATAGGGGTGTGTGTGTGTTTGCGTGTCCATCATAAATTAATTAAGAAACTGGTAGTGATGAGTTTCTGCAGCACACAGTTTGGGAATTGCCAGAGGTGTGTGGAAAAAATATTGTGATACTAAAGGTGCTGAACCCAGAAAAAATTGGGAAATTCTATAGCATATATATTATTGCAAACTCCCCCCCCCCACTGTATTGCCAAGAGAAATTTGAAAAGAAAAAATCCTAAGCATTCTGACAATAAGTCAGTAAACAGAAATCTCTTTCACTGGAAACAAAAACTCCTAAGAAACTGGAAGCAAATTCTAGTACTACATTCATTCTAGAAATATTTGTTTGCTGGCATTAAAGTATAAGAAATATATATTTAAAATAGAATTTATCAAGAAAATTACTTTAAGTCAGATTTTTGCATCAGTTTTCAGAGGAAATGTAACATTATGCTTCATGCAAAAATCTTTCACAGCATATTCCTACATGAACAGTTGAACACCTTCTCAACACATTCTGAGTTTTAATAATGTATATAATGGACTTCCAATGTTTCAGAATGTAGATAGGTGATCAGATAGTAGAATGCTGGTAAGAGTCAAAGCCTGTCCAACAGAGCATTGAAATTTATTCTAGACAAGAAAAAAAGCATGGAATCCATGTTTAAAAATACTGTACTTTCAGGGCTTTTAAGACTATACAGTACCTGGCTATATTCTTTCTTCTGTAAGCAGAATAGTCTCCAACCATAGATCATTCTTCCTTTGCTCCTGAACCCAATTCCCAAAAATACATCTAAAAATTGCTTCAGATCAGATGGAGTGTAATGGCTTTCAACAATTATGGAAACTCTTCTTGTGCAAGAATCTCAATAAACAAGACAACCTATTTCCCATCTCCAGAATAGAGAGCACAAATAAGAAACTAAAAATATAATCTATGAAAGAAATCTTGCACATATCAGATAACAATGTCCAGAAGTGTATGATAACCTTTGTTTGGAAGCCTCATAGCTAACTGCTTATCGCTTGACTTGAAATGCCATTACTTGTTATATTTCAGTATGTTAGACCTGAACACTGAAAAACAGCATATAAAGGAGAGCATTGCCTAGCTAAGACTACTGTGCCATCAGCCTTTCTCAAGCAACATGGATTTGACCTTTGTAACCCCTACCTTAGTTGTATCAGAATTGGATTGCTGTAATGATCTCTACATAGGCTGCACTTTGAAGAAGACTCAGAAAGTTGGCCAGAAAGATATAACATGAGACCATATGCAGCAAATAGATGGTCTCTCTATTAAAACAGATCTTCTTTCTTCTTCTTGTGCCATATCCATTATCGGACGTTGGCGATCATGTTGGTGATCCTGTTTTTATCAGCAGCCGCACGAAAAAGTGCTGCTGAGTTTTGTCCAAACCAGTCCCTTAGATTTTGAAGCCACGATGTTCTTCTTCTGCCTGGACCTCGCTTGCCTTCAATCTTTCCTTGGAGGATTAAATGGAGTATGCCATATTTTTCTGGGTATCGCATCACATGTCCGAAATATTCTAACTTTTGTTTTTTAATTGTTTTGATGATTTCCCTTGGCTTTCCCAGGCAGCTTATCACCTCCTCATTTCTGATCTTGTCAACCCAGCTTATATGTAACAGCCACCTGTAAATCCACTTTTCAAATGCTTCTAGTTTCTTCAGCTGGCCTTCTGTCAGAGACCAACTCTCTACTCCATAGAGCAGGATAGAAAAAATATAACATCTGACAAGCCTGATTTTCAATCTTAGGCTTATGTCATGACTGCAGAAGACCTTTTTCATTTTGAAGAATGCTGTTCGAGCTTTCTCTATCCTTGTCTTTACTTCAGTGGTCATGTCCCAGCTTTCATGTAAATTAGAACTGAGGTGCATGATCCTTTCAACTTTTTCTAATAGTATTCCTTCCAAATTTATTGGTGGTAAATTAACGGGTTGTTTGCTGATGACCATGATCTTGGTTTTTAAGGTGTTAACCTTCAAGCCGTATTTTTCAGATATTTCTGTGACTCTGTTGATGAGGAGCTGAAGGTCTTCATGCTTACTGGCAAGCAGAATTGTATCGTCAGCATATCTTAAATTGTTGATCCAAATTGTTGATTAAAACAGATGCAGTTCCCAAATATTCCCATGCTGCATCAGATTACTAGTGAAGATTTTAGAACTCTGATACATTTGAGAGGAGGATGTCTAAAACACTACCTTTTCTTTTATTATGTTCTTTGCCTTCTAAAAAAATTATTCTTAAATCACCAGGAATAATACTTAAGTCTTGGAACTGCAGAAAAAGAGTTGCTTAGTATCCCCCCCCAAAAGAGCAATTTTAGGTCAACTAATTAATTGCCTTTAGAATGGTCTGGATTTTAATTTTTTTTCCTTGGTTTCAGGGTTTTATTATTTGTCCTGTGTTTTTCTAATGTAATTGTTTTTAAGACACAGGTTTTCATCTGTGGCACTTAATCCACTAAACAAACAAATCTGAAAGGAATTATAGCCTGTGCAGGTGGCAGAGGGTAGTTTTACATCCTTCGATTGTTGCTCTGCCATTGATTCAGCTTTTCAAGGACAAGCCAGGGACTTAATAAGAACTCAGCCCTGCTTTGCCTAGACAAGGTTAATGCTTAAACATATACAGCCAGAGCCTAGGACAACTGGTAGCTTGTTAAAGCAAATTTAGATTACTGTCAGAACTCAATTCTTCTCTGCCTGCACAAACTGGCAGCAAGACCAAATTCTGGCAGGGCTGCAACTTGCATGTGCAAAGGGATAAAGAATGGGATGTAGATTTAGCATTTGTTGCTAAACAGATAGTGGCACATTTCATACTGCTAAGCTCATAATTTATTCACAGGGAGGTCACACAAATTCAGGGGTCATGGCCCTTCAAAGGTATTTGTTTTGAGCTTTACTTTTTTTTAAAAAAAAGTTGCTTACTTTAAATATTTCATTCTATTATCAGTATCACATGTTCATCAGATAACCTTTCACCAATAAAGACAAAGATAACTTCTGGCAATGAAGTTAATTTTACAAGCTAATTGACAGGGAATTAAAAACAAAGGGTGCAAGTCTAGGACAGCATGGTCCGCAAAGCCTTAAACTATCTGCCAGATGGGCAACAAGAGCAACAGGCTAAAATAGAAGTCATGCACCAGCAGCCAGATGGTTCAGGATGTAGCCTTATACTAATTTCATATGTATGTGCATTCTTCTAAATACCATGTTGTTCAAGAAAATGTATTTAATTAACAAACTAAGTTAGACTTTAACACTAAGTTCAAATATTCAAAAATCTCTCTTAACATTCCTTTCCTTATTTTAAAAATAGCTTAAAATATTTTGTTTTTTATGGCTAATTTTTCATCAACAATATTCTAAGCAGTAACTGTAAAATTTCTATAGCATTTTTGTCTTATACTATATCTTTGTATCAACTATTTTCCTTCCTTCCTTCCTTTCTTTCTTTCTTTCTTTCTTTCTTTCTTTCTTTCTTTCTTTCTTTCTTTCTTTTTCTTTCTTTTTTATCTTTCTCTCTCTCTCAACAATTAATAAAAAAATGATTAAAAATTTCTTCCAAGTATGTAGGCACTGGTACGTAAGTACGGTAATATATTGAGCCTCAACA